GGTTTAGGGGTGTAGGGGTTTAGGGTTTAGGGGCTTAGGGTTTAGGGGTGTAGGGGTCTAGGGTTTAGGGGCTTAGGGTTTAGGGGTGTAGGGGTTTAGGGCTTAATGTCATAGCCCATAGCATTGGGGATTTATCGTCTACCAGACAATTGGAGCATTATCATCCTACCACCCTCAAGGTGAAGCATAAACAATCCTAGCCATCATTACCCCTCTCCCATGTTCCAACACTTACCCTAAGGCTCTAAGGACTCATACTTTTAGGGGCCCGAAGGCTATACCGTGTAAGGGGCTTATGGGCTGTTCTCTGAACTCTAAACCCTGAACCCCTATGATATTCCGAAACCCTAAACCCTAAACCCTGAACCCTGGCCTGGGGGTCTCCAGCCCCACGCAGGGCACTTTCCTTGGATCCTGGCCGGCATTCTGGTTTTGGGGCCGGGAGGGGTTTCGGGGCCGGGAGGGTTTTAGGGTTTCGGGAGTTTCGGGTTTCGGGAGTTTCGGGTTTAAGGGTTTCGGGAGTTTCGGGTTTAGGGGCTTAGGGGTTTGAGTTTCGGGCTTAGGGGCTTAGGTGTTTAAGGGTTTAGGGGTTTCGGGGTTTCGGGGTTTAGGGGTTTAGGGGTTTAGGGGTTTAGGGTTCAGGAGTTTCAGGGTTGCGGGCGGCCGGGATATTTATGGTTTTTCTCGGGCCTCCCCCACCGCCCCAAACGGCTGGGACCTATGGGCCTTCCAAGAGTATATCGTACCACCCCAATATAGTACCGCACCCTTATACCAGGCTAAAAGGGAACCTCTTTTGAGAACTACCCATATTCTTATTGATGTTAGAGTAAACGAAACCGGATTTTGGACAAATGGTGCTGGGATTCCCTCTACATTAATATGTAGGATCGAGCCTTTTGAGTTTCCAGCTTGTGGGCTTCTACTATAAAGCCCTACTCTACTTGCTATAAGTCCGCTCGAATCGGTCAGACCCTCACCTCACCTTACTCCTTTGCAGAGCCCCTATAGAACCCAGCTAAACCCTCAACCCTAAACCCTAAAGCCTAAACCCTAAATCCTAAACCCTAAACCCTAGTATAGAAACCCCAAAGGCCCGGGTACATAACTCGATGAAACCCTGTACCTTAAACATCCGACTGAGCTTCGTATACGTTCCCTAAACTCTGTAGAGCCCTTAATAAAACTTCCTATAAGTTCCCAGGACTCTATAGAGAGCTAACCCCTAAACCCTAAATTTCCGAAGTGGTGGGTCCTTGTGCATGGTGCCCGGGACGTGGCGTGTGGGCCCATTAAAGGCAGTAATGTCACAAACGGTGAAGTTCACCTGAGCCGAGGCTGTTCTGAGGATTTTGATGAGTTTAGTTGGTCTGGGTTTAGGCTTGGGGATTTAGGAGTTTGGGGGTTTAGGGTTTGGGGAATCAAAGGTTTAGAGCACGTGAAGTGCTCAGCTATGTCGGCCGATTTTTGATCTCCCCGAAGAGCACAGGGGGCAATCCGGACATTCATCCATCAGGGGTTAGATGCATATTCAAGTAAAGTTTAGGGTTTAGGTTTTAGGGTTTAGGGGTTTAGGGTTTAGGGGTTTAGGGTTTAGGGCTTCAAGCTTTCATCTGGTTGGATGCCTCAACCCTAAACCCTGTAAACGCAGCACTCAAGGAAAGGAAACCAGAAGTTTAGCCTGCAGGGCACGTGCTTGGCTCCTACCTCATAGATGCCTTGCGGGGCTTGGGGTGCAGAGTTCTCGAAACCTGTTTATGGTTTTGGGGTTTGGGCCTAAGGTTTAGGGCTTAGGGTGCAGGGTTTTGGGTTTTAGGTTAAGGGTTTATGGCTTTGGAGTTTGGGCTTAAAAAATCGGGGTTCCATGGAAGGACATGGACATCGACACAGATCTCGCAATGCCTGGATATGCATGCCAGATGTGCAGTGGCCATCATCACCGTCGTATTCCTCATAACTATCATTTCCATCACGACCATAATCGTCATCTTTTTTGATTGTTGGTGTTCCCTATCCCTGTTCATTGTTTTGTGCAGGTTTGATCTTACTTTCTGTTAACACTCCTCTTACTAAAGACACCAAGGCCACCGAGTAGCTGTGTCAGTGTGAATACTGCTGTCATGTCACCAGTGGCATGCGGTCGCAGAATCTTTGCGCTTGAAACGCGGGCCCTCAACCCTAATATAGGGGCCGCAATAATTAGAATAGGGTTTGGGGGGTATATTACACTATACCTCTAATAAGGAGCCCCCAAAACCCTATTCTAATTCTTGAGGCTTCTACATTAACCCTGAGACATCACACACCCTAAACCCTAAACCCTAAACCCCTAAACCCTAAACCCTGAATTTGAAGAAAGGTGGCTGAAAGAAAGCGAGGGAGCGGATTCGCATCCAGGTCTCCCACATCGCTGTGAAGCCGCTGATAGTCCCAGCCTGCCGTTTCCAGCCCAAATTACAGGAAACTACAGGTGGGGAGTTTAGGGTATTAGGGGTTTAGGGTTTAGGGGTTTAGGGTTTAGGGTTGAGGGAACTACAGGTGGGGAGTTTAGGGTCTATAGGGCTTCTATAATAGGCTTCTATGAGGTACATAGACCTTCTACAAGGCTCCTATAACGGTAACTATCCACATGACAATGTCCTAGACCAAAACCCGGAGCTACGGCTGATGATACAAATCCTGCATTACCACAAAAAGGAAGATGCCATACTATTTCTCATAGTTTAGGGTCCTTCAGGTAATGCAGGGTTTGTATCATCAACAGTAGGGCTTAGAATAGGGTTTGGGGCCTAACATGAAACAGCGCTATACAACCCTAAACCCTAAACCCCTGAGCCCTAAACCCTAAAACCTTAAACCCCTAAACCCTAAACCCCTAAACCCCTAAACCCCTAAACCCTAAACCCTAAACCCCAAATCCCTAAACCCCGAAACCCTGAACCCTACACACTAAACCCCTAAACCCCTAACCCCTAAACCCCGAAACCCTAAACCCCGAAACCCTAGTATGCTTAGGCCCCCAGAGTTGATGCGTTGAGGCAGAGAATAGAACGGAGAGTGAGGCCATGTTCTCACTTAGGTTGAAGCCATGGGCTTTTTACTGTTTAGGGTTTAGGGTTCTAGGGTTTAGGGTTTAGGGTTTAGGGTTTAGGGGTTTAGGGGTTTAGGGTTTAGGGTGGGCCCTTAACCCTGGGAGCGAAATATACCTACTATATACCCTAGATGTACCCTTAGTTGCCATAGAAGAAGATTTGACTTATCGTTCAGGCTGAGGAACGAGCATCTAAAGAAGCCGCATGATGTCGCTGGCATGTGAACATTGAACCCTATAAACCTCAAACCCTGAACCCCTAAACCCTAAACATTGCAGTTCTTGGCCGTGACACACTGGGGCGCGACGCACTCTCCGCCACCGCCGCAGCAGCGGTAGGCACTGCGCTGACCCCAAACCTGTTTCCAGAGACGAGGGTTTGGGGTTTAGGGGTTTAGGGTTTAGAGTTTGGGGCTTAGGGGTTTAGAGTTTTAGGGTTTAGGGCTTGGAGTTCTCAATACTAAAACCTGAACCGTTTCTTTTGTCAGGGACGAACCCTAGCCTTCGTTGAACGAAGTAGCCTGCTTTTTTGCTACAAAGTCAATATAGGGGCCTTAATGATTTGAATAGGGTTTTGGGGTCCGTTCTACTATAAAGATAGTAGGGAACCCGAAAATAGTATAGGTAATTACTAGGCCCCTATATTAAACGTGACCATGAGATAGCACGATTGAGATGTGAGGCAGATGGATGGGTCTTCGATGTACTGAAATGTGGCTCTTTCTTTGATAAAGGGGCGGGGTCAGTTGTAAAGTCAACTGGGGTTTAGGGGGGTAGGGTTTAGCGTTGTAAAGTCAACTGTCCAGCTAAGACTGTGGTCCTGGTCTTGTCATCCACTCTTCAGTCATCAAGGCTTGTGACGATGACCGATCATGTGTAACTGATCTTGTCGAACAGCTACGGCTTATGAATCTTACTAAACCCTAAACCCTAAACCCTTACCCCTAAACCCAACACAACCGTCATCCCGAAGACCTTTCAGCGGGCCAAAACCCTGAGCCCTAGCAGCCAGAAACCGCTTCCCGAAACCCTTAACCCTACATGGTGGGTTTAGGGTTTAGGGTTTAGGGTTTGGGGTTTAGGGTTTAGGTTCATGGGTAGTTATAAGTAGGGTTATAAGTCCCCTGATATGGCTTATAACTCTAGTTACGCACACTTATCACTACCCATGAACCTCCAAGTACACCCTAAAACTCCTAAACTCCTAAACCAAAAGCCCGAAACTCCTAACCCCTAAACCCTTAAATTCCTGAACCCTTAACTCCTAAACTCCTAAACCCTGAGCCCTCGATCCCAAAACATCGACGAGCAGCAGCATCCAGGACCTGCAGAACTGCCGGCACGCCGGCGATCTGCTGCGCCCATTCTGGCTCGTGAAGGCAGTTGCCCTGGACGACTTGCAGGAGAGGGTTTAGGGTTTAGGGTTTGGTAATAATATGGTACTCCAGCAAGGAAAGCATATAATTTGCTATACATGTACACACCCTTTGTTGCAACTTGAATTTCAGTTCCCTAGCAAAAACCACTAAGTCGGAGTCTTGCGAGCTCAAACCCTGATAGAGCTTTGTCAAACCAAAGACCGGGCTGCTCCCCTTTGGAACAACTCGCCATGAATCCGCAACTATTGAAGTCTTGCTTGTCTAGTTCTTGATGCGTCGGAGATGAAGTTCTCAGGACATCTCCCCTGTAGGCGGCACCCGCTGGAAACCTACATCCCACACTGGGAAGGTTGTACGTGGGCATCAGTGTGGCATCAGGTTTCTCTAACACGTATGGGAAGCACAATGCAACCACCAACAGACCCTGACCTCTCGGAGCGTGGCTTGCGTGTTTTCCGAGCTGTCTCTAATACAATGTGAATGTGATGACATACTGCTGTTGCTGCAGTTCCTACAACGGGGATTACCTGGTTGATGTCTCTGAAAGCACTGCAAAGCCCTGGTGAAACTCCTGGTGCTACAGTGTCTACAGTTCCCAGAGACTCTAATACCCCTTAATTAAGGAATATACCTTAAATCATATTAGGGATCCTACTATAATTTACGATATATTCCTTAATTGAGGGATATTGGAGTCTCTGGGTTACTGACGGTTGTGATGATGCTCTGGCAGCGAATGCTGAGGCTCGGGATCGTGGCAAGAAATATGCTTGTTAGACCTGCTGCAAAAACAACGAAGACGGTTGACGGTTAATCACTTGCAATGCTGTGGCTTCTGCTACTACTGCTACTGCTACTACTACGACGAGGACCACCAGCACGACAGCGACTGACCACCACTAAACTACCACTACCATTAGCACTGCCACTACCACTGCCACTGCCACTACCACGACCACCACTGCCACCACTACCACGACCACACCGACACCGGCACAGACCCCAGCCGCCGCCACAGCCACCGCCCTCCACCTCCACCTCCACCATCACCATCACAACTGCCACTGCCAATACCACTACCCACTCCCACCACCACCGCTAACACCACCAACCACCAGCACCACCAGTACCACCAGTGCCACCAGTACAACCAGTATCATCAGCAGCCACCGCTGCTGCTGCTACTACTACTACTACTACTACTACTACTACTCCTGCTGCTGCTGATGCTGCTACTACTACCACTACTACTACTACTACTACTACTATCACTCTGACGACGACCTACCAAGACTACGACGGCGACAACAGCGGCGACGTTTACCACAATCTTCGCAGCTCTCATTTAAACTTGGGTTCTCGATTTCGTGATTTCGTGAAGACTTTCAGATGGGTAGTCATCAAAATTATGGTCCCTTTTGGGGGTACCTAAATAATGGGTGACGTATTATCATAAGGACCCAAAAAGGGACCATAATTTTGACAACCACCCATATGATCGAGGAAGATCTTGTCAACAGCCGCTCTGTAAGGAAAGTTCAGACTTCCTTTGACAAGTTGAGATACCAGAAGCACTACCGCTCCCGCAAGTCCGAAACCCTGCAGAGCTGAGGCAATGTACCCAGAGACTCCAAAACCCCTCAATTAAGGAATATACCTTACATTATAATAGAGGAACCCTAAACCCTAAACCCTAAACCCTAAACCCTAAACCCCAATAAGATTTAAGGTAGATTCCTTAATTAAGGGGTTTGGGAGTCCCTGGGTACCTGCACTGCCGTGATGCGCGAAGCAACTAGCCCCAGTTCGTGAAGCTAGTGCGCCCAACATTGAATTTGCATGGTTTAGGGTTTAGGGTTTAGGGTTTAGGAATTAGGGATTTGGAAACCCCATAAACCCTACCTAAACCCTAACAAGGACGTCGACGCAACGAATCATGTTGAATTGCCATGCATCGTTCTTGGTTTTGGAAGTTTGAAACTTCAGGCGCAGTAAAGGGCCCGAAAAATACGACGAGCCCGAACCCAACTCCATTGAGGCCCCTAAACCCCTAAACCACTAAACCCTAAACCCTAAAACCCTAAACCCTAAAACCCAAAGCCCTGAACCCTAAACCCTAAAAGGAATCCTAACTTTCAGAATATCTTCAAGGCCTTCTTGAAAGCAGTGCCGAACGAAAATCGCCCGTGACCGCGATTTTCACTGAAGCCGAACTCCTGGCTTCGGTGTAGGGTACTTGGAGGTTCATGGGTAGTTATAAGCGGGGCTATAAGTCCCTAAACGGTTTAGGGTTTAGGGTTTAGGGTTTAGGGTTTAGGGTTTAGGGTTATAGGTTATAATTACAGTTACCCGACTTATAACCCCACTTATAACTACCCATGAACCTCCAAGTAGACCTAGTATAGGGATTAGACCCTAAACCCTAAACCCTAAACCCTAAACCCTAAACCCTAAAAGGGTTTAGGGATTTGGGTTCAGGAACTTTGGGGTTTAAGGCTTAGGGCTTAGGGGTTTGGGGTTTAGGAGTTTGGGGTTTAGGGCTTAGGGTTTAGGGTTTAGGAGTTTAGGGTTTAGGGTTTAGGGTTTAGGGTTTAGGGTTTAGGGTTTAGGGTTTAGGGTGTTGCTGTGGCCGAAAAGACCTACCGTTCTAAAGAAGTATATATAGAAATCATAAGATATCATAAGTATAAGGAAACCGAGAATCTTTCGGCTACACGTAGGGTTCAGGGACTAGAGCTTGTGGCCTGGTGGGCTTTACTTGGAGGTTCATGGGTAGTTAAAAGTAGGGCTATAAGTCCCCTAATATGGGTTATAATTACAGTTACCCTATACTTATAACACCACTTATAACTACCCATGAACCCTAAACCCTATAGAACCCTTTAAAGGAACCTTTAGAGGAACCCCATGACCTGACTTACTACCCATAAACCTACAAGCATGAGGATTCGGGGACCAAGTGGGCTGTGAGGTTGCTGCGCTTGGGGAGTTAGAAGTTCAGCTCTACTGCCCAGAGAGCCCAATACCCCTCAAGTAAGGAATATAGTTTAAACCATAATATTAAGGCCCCTATAGTTTCAGGTATATTCCTTAATTCAGGGGTATGGGGGGTCTCTGGGTACAATTCGTAAACCCTAAAACCCTAAACCCTAAACCCTAAACCCTAAAGCCCTCAACCCAAAAACCAAACCCCAAACCCTACAACCCTACAATCCCAAACCCTACACCCTAAACCCTAAACCCTAAGGCTTACTGTTTCTTTTACCAGCCAACCTAGGGCTGTTTCGGATTCAGTGCTCATCGACTTCAGGCTTTGAGGTAATACTGGGCTCTGAGGGTAGGCTGCCCTTACCACTATGGGAGATTCCGAAAATAGGGGACCCAATATAGACCCTGAAAATAGGATCCTTATTATAAGGACCCCAAAATAAGGTACCCCTTATTTTCAGAAACTCCCGTATGGGAATTTCAGAGAACGTCGGGCCAAGGCAACAGCAACAGCAACAGCAGCAACGACAAGAACAACAACGCCGCCACCACCACCGCCACCATCACCACCACCACCACGACCACCACAATTTTCAATTGGACGCTGCGCGAGCGGACTCCACGCATGGCGGGCATCTTACCGCACCAAGCACTCACTAAGTGCGAAACCGACCTGAGATCCTTGTCATGGCTGTTGGAGTCTACCCGCCACCACAACAACAGCAGCAACAACAACAACGGGTTTAGGGTTTAGGGTTTGGGGTTTAAGGTTTATGGTTCAGGGTTTCGGGCTTAGGGTTAGCAACAACACGTGGCTGATCGTATCCATAGCAGCTACTTCAGTGATAGATGACACATTGCCAACAACAGCGCATGTAACGCTTAAAACCGTGCACACAGGTCGCTGTGCTACGTGTACTGCTGGGATCAGTTGGAATACCTGCAGCAATAGTACATGAAGCTTGCGTAAAGCAAAACACACCCTAAACCCTAAAGCCCTAAACCCCTAAACACTCTAGGTATACTTGACCATATGTATAATAAGGAACCCCCCAAAACCCTATTCAACTTATTGAGGCCCCTACATTACTAGACTCTAGACCCCAGACCCTAGACCCTTGACCTAAACCCTAAACCCTCAACCCTAAACCTGTGAAACTGCTCTTTTCTGTCGAAACGTCCTCGACCTGCTGGTGCAGCCGTTGGCAACCCTTCTTCCAGATCTCGATTGTCTCGCTTGCAAGCACCTGAATTTAGGGTTTAGGGTTTAGGGGTTGGGTTTAGGGGTTTAGGAGTTTAGGGGTTTAGGGATTAAGAGTTAAGGGTTTAGGGTTTAGGGATTACTTGGAGGCTCATGGGTAGTTACAAGTGGGGCTTAGAAGTCCCCTAATTAGGGTTATAATTATAGTTGCCCTACTTATAACCCCACTTATTACCACGCATGAACCTCCAAGTAGGGTTTAGGGTTTAGGGGGCATGGTGGGCTTGGATTCTCCAGTCTCGTCTCTTCTGCCCATTGCAAGCTTAAGGGCTTTCCGCTTGACTTGTGCTGGTCGGCTCTGCAACTACAAGAAATCGTTCCTTACATTGACGGGCTTCCGGCTACATCTTTTCATTTATACTGCGTTTAGCCTAGTCACCTAATCAGGTTCGACAACTTGTGTGATCATCCCAGAACATAACTACATGTACATACATATTTCTATATATGTGCACACATAATACAACCTTGTCCTGTGCCTCACACATAGATTGCCGCGGAGTTGGAAGTTCTCGTCAAAACCCTAAACTTTGAATGTAGCCAGGAACTGTAGGGTTTCAGGGCAAGGTTTACAGGGTCAAGCGACGTTTAGGGCTTCGGGCTTAGGGCTAAACGGCTTAGCACGTTCACGGGATAGGGTTTAGGGTACAAGCCCCACGGAACCAGACAGAAGCCCGGATAACTACGCGAAAGAAACCTCCAACCCTAAATCGCATTAGACAATTCCTAAAGCCAAAGCCTGAAACCCAAAAGCCTAGCGGCCCTAGTATTTTCTTGTAGACAAACCCTAAACCCTAAACCCTAAACGCTAAACCCTGAACCCTAAACCCTAAGCCGTGGTGCAGACGGAAGGATGCAAATACCGTGCTCGACGACCGCCATGCGGGCCCTATCGGGCCACGCCTGGCCAGCGATCGCGATTTGGGGTTTAGGGTTTAGGGTTTAGGGTTTAGGGTTTAGGGTTTAGTTTAGGGTTTAGGGTTGGGATTTCCGAAATTTAGGGGTACCTTATTTTGGGGTCCTTATAATAAGGATCCTATTATTAAGGGTATTATATTAGGGTCCCCTATTTTCAGAAACCCCCATTTGGAGGTTAAATGGGATTGTGGGGTTTAGGGACTTCGGTATCCGGGTGTAGCACAGGAAAGCTGAGAAATGGATGGATGGTTCGTACTGACTAGCCATTGCTTAATATGATAGGGCTGCCAATGCTATGACCCTGAGGAAGTGTCAGTGCTTCAAGCTGAATCGTGACAAAGCGTCAGCAAAACCTGTAAGTGGACATGCCTGGTCCGAGGGCTCCTGTGCAGGTTTGCGCGAACAGTACTGGTCAGATCGTTCAACAGTTCTGGATGGCAGGTGCAAAGCACAAGCCATGGTCAGCAAAAATGATCCAGAGCACCGGGCCCTGTGCCAGACTTGCAGTCCCGTGTGAAACACTCTGAGATTTGACGTAGCATCTTGGGCACCGGCACCGGCGGCGTAGCTTGTGTTCTTAGGACTGGTGCCGAAAACTCTGCAATTGAACTTGAAGGTTCATGGCCCACTTATAACTATTCTAAACCCTAAACCCTAAACCCATAACTAATGTAGGGGCCTTAATAATTAGAATAGGGTGGGTTTTGGGCCCCTTTATAGACAAGTGTAATAAGAAACCAGAAAGAATAATGTTGGTATTTATTTAGGCTTCCAGATTACCCATGAACCCTGCAAGTCCAGAAGTTTCCTTTGCACGAGCTGGCTCCAGGGGCGCTGCACCATCGGCGATCATTCTTTGCTTTGCTTAGTCACCGAATCTACATGTCCTTTCACTCGTGCGGCGCTGCACCCGACAAAACCGGCAACATCAGCCAGAGGGTAGCAGGAGCAACCCTAAACACAAAACTCAAAACCCTAAATCCTAATCCGTAAAACCCTACAAATCCCTTAGACTCCTAACCCCAAAACCCCAAATCCTAAATCCTAATCCGTTATACCTAAACCCTAAACCCTAAACCCTTAGACTCCGAACCCTAAACCCTAATACCCTTAGACTCCTAACCCCAGTGGCCTCAGTCTTCGGATGAACCACGATCTGGCCTTCCAGGCTCGAAAGCAGCGTGCCTCGCTGGCTCAGAAGGTGCAGGAGATGAACTTAAGGTTTAAGGCTAGGGTTTAGGGTTTAAGGCTAGGGTTTAGGGTTTAAGGTTTAAGGTTTAAGGCTAGGGTTTAGGGTTTAGGGTTTAAGGTTTAGGGTTTAGGGTTTAGGGTTTAAGGTTTAGGGTTTAGGGTTTAAGGTATCGTTGTTGAAGGGTCCGTATAAATTGCGAGAAGGATCTTAGTCTGTATGGGTTGGAGCAACTGCTCCATAAAGTCCTGCAGGAGTGCTGAAGGGTTTTAGGTTCATGCTGCTCCTCATGATGACAATCATACCAATCCAGCCCCGCTAATTAATTACAAGGACACTGCGACGGGTCTAGACTAGACGCTACATGGGTAGTCATAAGTCAGACCGGTAATGCTAAAGGATCACAGTAAACATGTCATGCAAGTCCTGCTGGTGGTATTGGCAGTAGTCTGCATCTGGGTCGTTTGTGTAGTAGGAGGACTGTCAAAGTCATGGCTATAAGATGCCCGCAGATCCGCAATAGTTTGCAAAAAAACCCACAGACATCCACACAAACTAGACGCGCTTCGTGCCCTGGCTTTTGGAAAAAAGGGTTGACCTCTCGACGGCATCTGCGATCTACTCTGAAGTCTAGGGTTTAAAGTTTAGGGTCCAGGGATTTAGGGTTTCGGAAGTGCCCAATGTTCACCACAATGTCAGGTACAGAAACCCAAGGACTGGCATCAAGACCAGAATAAAGCCCTAGAGCAAAATTTTGCACAGACAATATTACGCTCTGTCACCACGCTTCGAAACCGTGCCGTCAGAGGGGCATGGGGGTTTAGGGGTTAGGATTTTGGGGTTTAAGGTTTTGTCAGGGTTAACTTAACGATTGGTGCTTGTCGGAATTAGGGGTTCAGGCTTTGGGGGGTTAGAGTTTAACAGGGTTTATTAGGGTTTACGGGTCACAGGTGACGACTTTCGAACAAACCAGCATGCTTGATCATGATAAACCCTAAACCCAAATTTCCCTACCCCGAAAGCCCTCAATTTGAGATCTTACATTACCCCTGAACCGCCTAGAAACCTTTACAGAAACCTTTATAAACCCGAAATAGCCCTCATAAACTCCAAAAGAACCCGTACAGCGCTCTCCAGATTCCTTTTGGCAACCCCACACTCAAATCTATACGGTGGATAGTTCTCGAAAATCGGGTCTCTTTTGTCCCCAAACCTCATAAATAGGACCCTGAAAGGAACCCTTATTTAGAGAACTACCCATAAAGCCGGGAATCTCCGAAGCGGGATACCAACTTCGAGTTGGGCTCGCACGAACCTGGGCGACAAGCCGCGCGCAGGGCTTCACGTTTAGGGCTTAGGACCCAAGGCTCTACCGAATCAAAGGCTTACTCTAAGCCTATAGTTGCCCTAAACCCTCAACCCTATCAGGTAAACCCTAAACGATAAACGCTAGACCCCAAAGCCTAAACACCATAAGAATCCTGTAAGAGCGCTGTAAGACGAAGGTCGGGGCTTATTGTTGAAAAGGGGCCTCAACCATTGGACCTTTGAGGGTCTATTGTACCATAACTATACTTGGAGGTTCATGGGTAGTCATAAGTGGGGGTTTAAGCACGGCAACTATGACCATAACCCATATCAAGAAGCTTAAAACCCCACGTATAACTACCCCTGAACCTGCAAGTAACGGGACTTAAAGGGGATGCTATTCGTCAATAAAGTGATTCCGCCCCCCGAAAGATTAAATGATACCAGCCTCGACCCCAAACAGCAACAAGTGGGAGACAAACGGGAGACAAGTGGGAGACAAATGAGTAGCGTATTTTAGAGTAGTGCCATGAGAAATCCAAATGCGCGTTACAGAATCCTTTTCTATTAAACAAATCAAGAACCCCTCAGCTAAAGC